TGGTTTAGATATTGGTGTGCAAATTGGCAATGTGTTTGTCAATTGGTGTTGCAATTTACAAGGACTTGCAAATTGGTCAGGTTTGCTTTTGATTTTGTAAGTTTATTCAAAATCATAGCGGAAACTCTCAAGCGGGATTTGCTTGGGGACTGGATGTACACCGGATTGGTGAAACTAGTGTAAATCCTTGTGTTTGTGATTGTGAATTTCTGAGATTGCCATTTTTCTTTACAATTTATAATCTACTTTGCATAAACTTTAAAAGAACACTATTCACCCCCCTCTAGTGTTCTAGTGTATTTATTTCAGATCCTACATAAACTACTGCTGCGTTTTGTTTGATAAAGTTGTAATCTTTATTTTTTTTATTGTAAGAAGATCTTATAAAAAGATTAACTTTTCTTTCAGTTTGAACTTGTAATCGATAAACGGTGTAACATGTTTGAAGGCAATGGAAAATACAACTTTTGACGAAAACAAAGGTGACTTTCGAAAACGTTGTAGCGAAGGTTACTAAAGGATCATTGGTGGTGATGAAGGGAGTCCGCAATCGGAATTTGTATTATCTGAAGGGAAGCACCGAGATTGGCCAGGTTGTTTCGGCTATTTCAGAAGCGGACATGAACAGACTTTGGCACTATAGGTTGGGGCACACAGGTAAAAAGTCACTGTAAGCATTGTGCAAGCAGGGGCTATTAAAGGGAGCCAAGAGTGGGAAGATTGAGTTCTGTGAGCACTGTTTTCTTGGCAAGAAGACGAAGGTGAAGTTCGGGACTGCCATTCATCAGACGAGGAGCATCCTGGACTATGTGCACACAGACGTTTGGGGTCTCACCAAGACTACATCACTTGGTGATCGACATTGGTTCGTCACGTTCATTGATGACTATTCTAGATGTTGTTGGGTGTACATCATGACGAAGAAGAGTGAAGTCCTAGATTTGTTTGTGGAGTGGAAAAAGATATTGGAACTGCAGACTGGGAGAAAGATCAAGACGTTGCGATCCGACAACGGTGGTGAATATACTTCAGACCCTTTTCAGCAGCTATGTCGATACGAGGGCATAGAGAGACATTTTACAATTAGTCATACACCGCAGCAAAATGGGGTGACAGAGAGGTTGAATCGGTCTTTACTAGAGAAGATCTGATGCTTATTGTCACAGAGTGGTTTGGAGAAGATCTTTTGGGCTGAGGCACTTACATATGCGAGCCACCTCATTAATAGGATGCCTTCATCTGCGATTGAGGGGAAGACCCCAATGGAGAAGTGGTCGGGAGAGCCAGCACACGACTATGACCAGCTCAAGGTATTCGGGTGCCCTGTATTTTATCATGTGAGAGCAGATAAATTAAAACCTCAAGCTAGGAAGGCCATATTTGTAGGATTCAAGCGTGGTGTTAAGGGATACAAGCTTTGGGATCCAGTTAATAGGAAGATTGTGCTGAGTAAGGACGTCACGTTTGATGAGGCTTCTATCTTGAAGCTTTCCGGATCTTATCAGGTGGAGAGCGACCCGACGGAGGAGATATCGCAGGTGGTGGAGATTGATGCAGGTCCACGTTGTCCAAATGGTACAGTATCCATTAAAGTACCGACTGAGGTGACGCCAGGCGAGCACGACGATGACACGGGGGATACGAGTACTGATGTGCAGGATCAGGGACCGACGACTCAGGTTCAAGATTCGATTGCGGTTCGGAGACAGATAAGAAACATACAGATGCCAGCACGATATGCCGACACAGTTACGTATGCACTTCCGGTGGAGAGTATCGATGAGTTAGTGCCTACTACATTCAGAGAGTCCGAGCAGAGTTTGGAGGCTGATTCGTGGCAGGTGGCTATACAGGAAGAGATGGAATCTCTTCATAAGAACGATACATGAGAGCTTGTTGAGCTTCCAAAATGGCGGAAGACAATTGGTTGTAAGTGGGTATACACGAAGAAGGAGGGTATTGAGGGCACTACATTGAGGTTCAAAGCTAGGTTGGTTGCGAAGGGCTATGCATAGGAGGAAGGTATTGACTATAATGAGGTTTTCTCTCCGGTGGTGAAGCATTCTTCTATTCGGATTTTGTTAGCTTTGATGGCACAGTATGGTTTGGAGTTAGATCAGTTGGATGTGAAAACGACATTTCTTCATGGTGATCTTGATGAAGAAATATATATGACTCAGTCATTGGGATTCCGAACTACAGGGAAAGATAAGTTGGTTTGCAGATTAAAGAAATCGATATACGGTTTGAAGCAGTCTCCTCGACAGTGGTATAGGCGATTTGATGGTTTTATGATTGGTCATTCGTACACTCGGAGCCAGTTTGATCCTTACGTATATTTTCGCAAGTTGAAAGAAGGTGCGTACATCTATTTGTTACTTTATGTCGATGACATATTGGTTGCCTCTATTTCCAGGTCGGCTATAGATGAGTTGAAAGTTCAGCTTTCAAATGAGTTTGAGATGAAGGACTTGGGTGAGGCGAAGTACATTTTAGGGATGAAGATCAACAGAGACAAGAAGAAGGGCAGAATTTGTTTGACACAGGTAGCTTATTTGAAGAAGATTCTATAGCGATTTCATGTTAGCATAGATACGAAGCCAGTTAGTGTACCATTGGGAGCCCATTTGAAGCTTTCAGCTGACCTTTCACCGAAGTCAGTTAAACATCGAAAGTTGATGTCGTAGACTCTATATGCGAGCGCGGTTGAGAGCTTGATGTATGCAATGGTATGTACGATGCCAGATTTGTCACAGGCGGTGAGCATGGTTTCGAGATACATGCATGATCCAGGAGTGGATCATTGGGACGTCGTGAAATGGATTTTGAGGTACATTCGAAGTACGCTCAATGTTGGTTTAGTTTATGAGCGGGACACTACAGATGGGCAACTATGCATTGGTTATGTTGATTCGGATTATACCGGAGATTTGGATAAGCGCCGATCTACCACGGGGTATGTGTTCACTTTGACCCGTGCGCCGGTGTGTTGGAGATACACCTTACAGTCGACGGTGGCTTTGTCTACGACGGAGGCAGAGTATATAACGGTTATGGAGGCTGTGAAGGAGGCTATTTGGTTTCAAGGACTTTTTGAGGAACTTGGTATATCGCAGAGGTCCGTTACTATTCATTGTGATAGCATGAGTGCTATCTATTTGGCGAAGAATCAGGTTTTTCATGCGCGGACGAAGCACATTGACGTTCGTTATCACTTCGTTCGGGATGTTCTTGAAGATGGTGATGTGAAACTTGTGAAGGTCCACACGAAGGATAATCCGACGGATATGCTCACTAAGGTGGTTCCGAATAACAAGTTTGATCATTGTAGAAGCTTGTTGCACATTCGTGATTGTTGAGGCCGTTGGCGGCCATTTGGGTGAACTACGTTCGGCTTGATTCCTTAGGCAAGAGGATACGTAGGCAGTCTTTCAGATTTAGCTGGTTTGGATTATTTGATTGGGGTGAGATTGTTTGGACTCTAGTTTAGGTTCCCGACTTGTTGTGGATTGAGTCTGTTGTCGTGTGTTTCACGATGTACTGGACACAAGTGGGACATTTGGATGTTTTGGTGTCGGCTCAGTTTTGAAAAAACTTCACCGATATGGAGAATTGTGAGTGGGGTCCACCCACGTGAAAGTTGCGCGTGAATAGATCACCAAAAGTCGCTGCAAGTGAAAAACAAGGCCCACCTGGTTTCCTCCCTCCTATAAATAACAATGTGATCTTTAGCCTAGGTTTTTGTGCAAAGTAGGGTGCAGGGAATATTTTGCGGCTGCAGAGCAAAACATGGTGGCAGGGATTTATTTTTCCGGCTGAATTTTTTTTCTTTTTTGGTTACAACAAGAAGAAAAGTGCAGGCTTTGTGCTTTTGTAGAGAGATTGTGTGAGGGTTTAGATTGATTGATTGTAACCCTAGTTGTATTCTCTCCCTCTAATAATAGATCTCCCCCCTCATTGCCCCGTGGACGTAGGCAATTTACCAAATCACGTAAAATTGGTTGTCTCGCTATTTGTGTGATTTGTAATAGCTTTTAGGTTCCCTCGACAGGTCAGTCCTAGAACTGATGAGAGGAAGAGCTGATATCTCACTTGGTTGAGATAGTTTGTTTCAGATTCTTGTTTCCTTGGTGAGACATGAATTCTTATTGCGACCTGACTCTCTTATTGTGCTGCCGAAGTGCTGCCGAAATTTTCGCTGCGCGCAACACTGTAGACATAAACATATTTCTTCAGGAACTTTCACAGGCAAAATTCAAGCAGAGTACAGGCTAGAAAACAATGCTTGCTCTCTTATTGTTCCATCACTTTCTACTTCTAAATCAAGCCACAAAGAAAAAGGACCTCCATTACTTTTCTCTCTAGCCTTTTTCTCTTCATATGCTATGATTTTATGGAAAAAGCTCAAGTATACCTCCATTACTTTTCTCTCTAGCCTTTTTCTCTTCATATGCTATGATTTTATGGAAAAAGCTCAAGTATTAAATACCTTTTACAGACAACTTTTTCAAAACTCGTATGAAGGGAATGACTTCACAAATAAATAATGTTCGGTGCACAGAATTGCCAAGCCATCTAAATGTACACTAGAAAAAATGCAGCTTTGCACATTGTTTGCTGATAGAGAAATCCATATAACATAAAAATTCATTAAAAATACAAAATTATTCCTCCGTAAGTTTGTGCTATGTAATTTTAGCTAAACTATAACTTTCTACTAGTGACATCCAAAGGCTGAGTTTGAGTAGAGTTTCGCGGGAAAAAAAGAATCATAAAGAGGGCAATCTATAGAAAATCATAGGGAGTGGATAAGACACCTAGTCTACTAGGAATCTTGATGCAAAAATCATAACCACAGTCAATGCAGTGACCACTAAATATCAGTGCAGAAAACACTAATAGCAATTGCACTACTAGAAACTGCACAAGTAGCCAAAAGTGAGCGTGCATCAAAGATTTGTGCTAGGACGGACATCTTCATTCCCAAATCCATAAGTTATTTAACCATAGGTCCTTGTCAAGCGAATCTGCAAAGTTCAAAATATTATATCTTCTCTAAGAATGAAAATGATGGATTTTTTATGTCAGTATATTATAGACGTGAAAGTTAAAAACGTACCTGAGCAAATGCGTAGATTGCTCGAAGGACCCGACCATAGTCTGTGCCAAGCATTTGAATTACAACATCTGCTAGGAATGTTCCCCATAACCTGCCAGATATTCCATCATTATTCATTACAACAATGTCCATAAAAATGTTCTTCACTCGACATATTTTCTTCTTCTTTGGTTATCTTCTTGTTAATTTGTCGCTCGCATAAAAGCTTACCATGCTGCTCTTTTGTTATTGATCTCTTTTACCTTTACTCGTAAACGGCTACTTTTGTTTGTGACTATAGTCGTAAACTTTTGGGTTGTTTGTTAAATTCTTGCTGATGAAACACGGGGTCGTTACCCTTTGCTTCACTCAAAAACATCTACAAAAATAAGTGTATATGTAAATAGTCACTATAAATATCATCAGTAGCTCAATTGATGAATTATAGTGATTTCCAATGTATCAGGTATACAAATACTCTTAAGGCACATTTAGCTATTTTCAAACCAGAATTATGAGATTTTGGATTTTTTTTTTTCTTCTTTCAAGTAAACAGTTTGCTATGTTATGGATGATAACAAAGAATAATTCAAATTACAAATATATGGATGAACTCAACAACTGATCGACCCCATCAAAGACATCAAATATACATGCCTACGCATCTTTCAATGTTACAAGTCAGACGATGTTATCTTAGGCCTTCAAGGATAAATGATTGGCTTTTAGGTAAGTGTAAAGTATATCATATGGATGCTTACGTTGGTGGATGTCAAATAAATAAAACAGACAACTGAATTAATAGAATGCAAATAATTGAAGAGCTTACACTGGTCCAACCAACATCATCATGCCCCTGAGTCCAAGATATCTTGATGCTGCACCAGCCAATCCCTGATATTGAAAATAACAAATTTTATATACACTCAATAACTGGACAAGAGTAACATGACTATATAAGCATATTACTTTCTCGAGTCATCTTCATATATAAATAATTTGTAGTTGATAAATTTCATTATAATGAACCTTAATAAGAGGATCTGTCCAAGTAAAACAATGACCTTTCTTGCTGCTAGCAGAGCTGCTCTAGACTCCAGGTTGATGGCAGCCAATTGTCCACCCTGAAAGCCACAAGGAAATAAAATCTTGGAAACTGAAATAAAAAATGAACAGCCCATCTTTATACACCTTCAATCTCGAAAAGATGTTTGAATATGTTTATTACATCTTTAACTTACTATTTTAGACCAAGTCTAAAGGGCTTAAAAGATGTCACTATAAACAAGGAAACAAAAGAATGGTTCACAATTAAAACAAAACTGTCTTCTCGTTTTGGTAGAACAAATTGTCGACTTTTCTACAATTAGATACATTTATTTTGTACATCTTAGGTTATAACAAATACTAAATCGAAGGAAAAACTGCCCAAAAATGTAAAGAACACTTGTAATAGAAGCATACCCTTTTAATAATTTCATGCTTAATCTCATAATTGGCGGCTTCCAATAGCATCTTTCCAGAAACTCTCTTTGCTATCTAAATAATAAAGAAACTTTAAAAAAACAGATAGAATAAAAGATGAAAGGGAAGAATTCTGCAAGCTATTATAAGCATAAATCCTTCCTCACCAATTGAAAAACTTTTGACAAGGTCACCACGCCACCGCCCTATAATAAGGCGGAGATTAAGTTGAATGAGAAAGTATAATCATATATGAGCAAGTTGTTGATACTTAGAAATTAATTGCTAAAATGGATACCTTCAAAATCATTTGTTTAAGTTCCTTCGCCCCTACTCTAAATGCAGCAAGGCCATGTACCTTCCATTGGCTAAGTCCAACTTCAAGATTTCCTTGACTGTTTGAAAACTTCATATCATTCCAAAACGAGTCTACATCCTGGCTGAAATTGAAAATAAATTATGTAACAATTACCAATAGGACTACTTGCATTTACAGACCATGGATCATGAGAGCATCATAAGGATCATGAGAGCGTCATAATAGTATCTAGGTGGAGATTATCTGATTGCACCTCAATATGTAAATTACTTCTCTCTTAAGTGAATGATACATGACAAAGAGTATGTACATGTATCTGCAAATAAGCAGAGAATTTAATACATTTCAGTTGACATCAATCATTGTCTTATGTAGGATTTATAGGAGGCTTCTTCGATTTCTTTGCATATGTGCAAAGTTTCTCTGCAGAGGTAGTCTTATCAACTGAAGTATTTCCGCTACTTAAATAGCCAATTATCAAATATAGTCTTTATTTTATATTTAGAACTTCACAAAGTCACAAAACTTGGTTTTTTGTTTCTAGATCTCGACGGCCATTCAGTGAAATAGTGAGCTAATAAGATTCTACAATAAAACATGTAGTACAATAGTCAATAGTCAATGTTAGCATCATGGTAACAAAAGAGTATCTGTATAAACAATATCTGTGACTTCTTTTTTTAGTTATTTGAAGGGGAAATGATTGATACTTGTTGCACCAAGATTTGACCAGAAGACCAGTACATTTGTTAAAAATGAAAATGGCTGATCATGAAAATGTAACACTTTTTCATTTCCGCACCCTGCAAACATATAAACCCTAAGCAAATTGCAATTTTTTTATTTTCAGATTCAACTGTTTCCATCCCAGCTCAAATGGTTGAGTTTTAATTCTTAGAAATGAAATAAAGTTTTGTTATTTCCTACTGGCTATACAGTATGAAAATCAATATACCTTGAATATTCCTGTAATAGGTGAAGAAAAATTTCAACTTCAAGGTCTTCTGTTGATAATTTTCTGGAACATGGAACACTCAGTTTCCTCCTAACACCCAGTAAGACATTTCTGTAGGAAGGTCGCCAACCTCTAAGAAAAACAGCAATAACATGTATCAGATATGTAAATGAAGCAATGAATTTCAGTACATTTTATATATAAAAAAGAAATGTAATAATGTGTGAAAACATTTTTTTTCAATATACCACTTGATTTAAATATAGGTTGTATTGCATTAACATGGAAAGTAATAAATTAGCAAGTGCCTCAAGCACTGCATGCTTCAGCAAAAGCTAGTAAAACTCTGGAAAGTGTTTGTATCTGATAAAGAACTTTTTATTACACAAAGTTGAGTTCAACAAATGCTTGTGACTAGTATTCTAATTGCAAGATGTACCCCGATGAATTAACGCAATTTCTGCAGTGCAACAATAGTAACATAATCATGTTTTTCTGAATGCCAAAGCAATGTCATTAAGCATCCTAGACTAACCATCCTAATGATTCACAGACAGAAAAATAAAATAAAATTCAGTTTTCATTTATATAAAATGAAATGAAATGAACAGGGACTTTCCCTTGTTTTTGTGCTAAAAAAAAGTTTTCATATGTTGAATCCAACAAACTGACTAAGAAAACAGAAGAAAACCAGGTATAATACTATAGAGAGAGGGCTAAAATAAGAAATATATACATGACAAACAGATGCTTTTATTGGTCTAGAATATATCAAGAGAATCGACAATTCAGGATATACGCATCACTAACCTCAATGTAGAACGTGCATCTGCTGCAAGAAACAAAAAACGTGACTCGAGATGTGCTATAAAATCATCTCGTCCTTCAATATCGTCTCCCTCTGGAATATAATCTACATCTGGTCTGTTTGTAATTGATTTTAGCAAGGGGCTAAAGTAGCTGCAGCCAAAGAAAAACTATTTCAACGTAGAGAGTATCAAACATTACTTAACCGGCATGCAAATTGGTGGTTCCCTAAGTGAACAAGATGGGTAAAAATTGGAGTCTGTCTAAATCTATAATAATTGATCACTAAAGTAATTTAACAGGATTATCCTTTCTCATGGCATCTACATAAATTGCAATAAGCCAAATGATTCTAGAACCAAATCATCGATTAACAGTAGGAACAGGAAGCCAAACGAGTTAATAGTATCTTATAGGGCAATGAATAGTAATGTTTGTGAAGTCATGCACATTAATTGCTTGGTATATCAGTTGATAATAGAGTTACAATTGGAAATATACATATTGGGCCTTACAAGATCATATACTTGAGGCTTTATTGTACTATATTTCCTTGTCTCATAATTCAACAATGTGTACTTCTCTGCAACAATTCAAGATAGTAACAAAGTCCCTCGCAACCAAATTGTAAACGTGGATGGGCACACCCACGAGCGGAGACAAAAGCCCAGGTGCGGCCCAGAAGTTCACGCGAGAACTTTGTTGTTCGTTCCCTATAAATACCTGATGACCTAGGGTTTTTTAGTTGTGTGGGGAAATTTACTCGGCTGCAGCGACGTGTGGGAAAAGACAGCGGCAAAGAAAAATCTTTTTCGGCTGCAGGGTAAAAACAGAGGCTGGTTTCTTGAGGAGTTTCAGGAGGCTAGAAGAGAGATCTTGAGAGGAGAGAAAGGGAGGGATTTACAAAAGAGAGGTTAATTTCTTTTGGGTAATAATTAGATCTTTTTCTCTGAGACGAGCTTGTGGATTGTACAAGTCGTCGATGTTTTTCTCATAGTGGAATCTCCCCTCACCCCTCCCGTGGACGTAGACAGTTTTGTCGAACCACGTAAATCTCGTGTATTTATTGTTTTCTGGTTGTTGGCTATTGCTTGTAGGTTCTCTCAATATTCGGTCTTAGAGCTGATGAGAGGAAGAGTGTATATTTCACTTTGATGAAATATATCACTTTCGATTCTTGTTTCCTTTGAGAAATAAGAATTTCACTATCTATTCTCGTTTCCTTTGAGAAACAAGAATATAGAGGCTGACTTGTGCTTTTGTGACAACAAAAGTCAGGGCTCTCTCTCAGGTGATATCGCTTCCGCGGCGGTGGGCGTGACTCTGCGCTCAACAATTGGTATCAAAACTGTTATTCAGATTGGGAGTGGTGTAGTTTCTGATTTGAGGAGGTGCTCGGTAATTTTTCTGAGAGAAGCGATTTATTAGTACAAGCGGAGAATGGCGTCAACAAGTAAAACAGTTAAAGTGGGAAAATACGAGATTGAAAAATTCAATGGGAAGAATGATTTTTCTTATTGGAGGATGCAGATGAACTCTTTGATTTCGCAGAAATTGCACAAAGCCTTGGAGGGAAAAGAGAAGAAGCACAAAGATATGTCGGATGAGGATTGGGAAGAGCTGGATCTGGAAGCACGGGCGTCGATTATCCTTTGCCTTGAAAGGGATGTAGCTTTCTTGGTAGATGGAGAGGAAACGGCTGCGGGCGTGTGGTCGAAGTTAGAAAGCATCTTCATGACGAAGAGTCTAACGAACCGGATCTATTTGAAATCCAAATTGTATACTTGCAAGATGGAGGAGAGCTCATCAATCCGGGAATACATCAACAAGTTTGATAGGATTATATCGGACCTGAAGGACATCGATGTGACTGTAGAAGACGAGGATCAGGCTCTTCTACTACTTCTATCTCTGCCGAAATCTTATGAGAACCTGGTGCAAACACTGATGCTTGTGGGAGACAATTTGACGATGGATAAGACTAGAACGGCGCTTCTAGCGGATAACCTTCGGAAGATTGCAACCAGTGACATGACTACTGGTGATAAGAAAGAACAAGCGCAGGGATTGTTTGCTAAAGGAAGGAGCAATGAGCGAGGAAAAGGCAAGGGAGGAAAGTCTAGATCTAAATCGAGACCTCTTGCGGGAAGAACGTGCTTCAAATGCGGTGAAGTTGGGCATTTCAAGGTCGACTGTCCTAACAAGAGAGTAGGTGAGAGCGTGCTTCAAATGCGGTGAAGTAGGGCATTTCAAGGTTAACTGTCCTAACAAGAGAGTAGGTGGGAAAAAGAACAACAACAAGACCGAGAGAAGAGAAGGTAAGGAAAAGACGAGTTACGCATCGGAGGAAAGGAGCGAGAAAGAATGCTATGTTGTTATGGGTGACGAAGATATCTCCGGTACGTGGATACTTGATTCGGGCTGCTCTTATCACATGTGCCCAAATAGGAAGTGGTTTACTACCTATAGAAGCATTGATGGTGGAACCGTATTGAGGGGGAATAACCATGTTTGTAAAACGGTTGGGCTCGGTGATATAAAAATCAAGATGTATGATGGAGTGGTCAGAACCCTAACGGACGTGCGGCACGTTCCCGACTTGCGAAAGAATCTTATTTCAGTGGGTGCATTGGACTCCGGTGGCTGCAAGATTGTTACAGAGAACGGAGTGAAGAAGGTTGTTCGAGGTTCCCTAACAGTGATGAAGGGTGTTCGTCACGGTAATCTATATACTCTCTCGGGTACGACGGTGACAGGAGATGCAGCGGTTGGAACTGATGGAAGTGGTGGAGACCCATGTGAGCACACCCGGTTATGGCATAGGCAGGAGATGCAGCGGTTGGAACTGAAGGAAGTAGTGGAGACCCATGTGAGCACACACGGTTATGGCATAGGCGGCTTGGGTACATGTCAGAGAAGGGTCTAGTTCTGCTTGGTAAGGAGAGTTTGCTGAAGAATCTGAAGAAACCTTGCATGGATTTTTGTGAGGATTGTGTGTATGGAAAGGCGCACAGGCTCCAATTCTTGAAAAGAAATCACAAGAGCAGAGGTATACTAGATTATGTGCACACGGATGTTTAGGGTCCGGCTCAGACAACTTCCAAGGGTGGTTCCATGTATTTTGTCTTGTTCATAGACGATTATTCTAGGTATGCTTGGATTTATTTTCTTAAGCATAAGAATGAGGTATTCGAGACATTCAAGAAGTGGAAAGCAATGGTTGAGAACAGGACAGGCAAGAAATTGAAGACACTGAGATCTGACAACGGTACAGAGTATACAGATGGTGATTTTAAGAAGTTCTGTGATCAAGAGGGCATTGTTCGACACTGGACAGTCAGGTCAACACTACAGCAGAACGGGGTCGCTGAGAGACTGAACCGAACATTACGGGAGAAGGCAATGAGTATGCGATCTTATGCTGGATTGGGCAACGAATGGTGGGCAGAAACGGTGGCTACAGCATGTTACATTGTGAACCGTTCTCCACATTCGACATTGGATGGTGATACACCCTATAGGGTGTGGTCAGGGGAACATGCGGATTATGAGAGGCTCAGAATTTTCGGATGTACCGCCTATTATCACGTCAACGAGGGAAAGCTTGACGCGAGGGCCAAGAAAGGAGAATACACAGGCACTACAACAACAGCAGCTCGAGGATACTTTGGCTTCCACTAGGCCAAAGCGAGCATACAAGCAGGTACAGAAGCTGGGGGCTGATCAACCCCTGAAGCACTATGGGTAGGTTAATTTGGTTGAATACGCACTCTCGGTGGAGGAAGATGAGCCGGTCTCCTTCAAGGAAGCTATTCGGGACAAAGATAGTGAGAGTTGGTTGGCTGCGATGGAGGAGGAGATGGAATCTCTTCGTAAAAATCAAACATGGGAGGTGGTCTCATTGCCCGTAGGAAGAAAAGCTATTGGTTGTAAGTGGGTGTATAAGAGAAAGGAAGATCCTTCTGAGCTCGGTAGCACAAGGTACAAGGCGAGACTAGTGGCTAAAGGGTTTGCACAAAGAGAGGGTGTGGATTACAATGAGATATTTTCTCCGGTGGTGAAACACACTTCTATTCGGGTGCTATTGAGTATTGTTGCTCATGATGATCTTGAGCTGGAACAACTCGATGTTAAAACGGCCTTCTTGCACGGAGATTTGGATGAAGAGATCTACATGCATCAACCTGAGGGTTATAAGGTTGAGGATAAGGAGCATCATGTATGTCGCTTGAGGAAGTCACTCTATGGACTGAAGCAATCTCCTCGGTAGTGGTACAAACGATTTGACTCCTTCATGCTGAAGCATGGATTTTTCCGAAGTGATTACGATTGCTGTGTTTACATTCGGAAGCTTCGTGGAGATGATTATATCTATCTCCTTTTGTATGTGGATGACATGCTTATTGCTTCTAAGAGCGGGGTGGAAATAGATAGGTTAAAATCTCAACTTGGTAAAGAGTTCGAGATGAAGGACATGGGCGCTGCTAGAAAAATAATGGGTATGAAGATTAGAAGAGAGCGGGCGAATCGACGATTGTTCTTGAGTCAGAAGGGCTATATAGAGCGGGTGATCGTGAGGTTCGGGATGCAAAGTGCTAAGAGAAGGGCTATATAGAGCGGGTGATCGTGAGGTTCGGGATGCAAAGTGCTAAGTCGGTGACGACTCCATTAGCTTCACATTTCAGGCTTTCAGGTAAACAATCTCCCACTACAGCGGAAGATAAGGCACACATGGAGCGTGTTCCTTATGCTAGTGCAGTTGGCAGTTTGTTGTACGCCATGGTGTGTACACGTCCAGATATTTCACAGGCGGTTAGTGTGGTCAGCAGATTCATGGCGAATCCGGGAAAGACGCACTGGGAAGCGGTGAAATGGGTCCTGAGGTACTTGAAAGGTACCGCAGATACGGGTCTGTGTTTTGGTGGAGATACATGTCAGATTGATGGGTTTGTTGACTCTGATTATGCGGGTGATCTAAATAGACGGCGATCTACTACTGGTTATGTATTCAGGATACATGGAGCTCCAGTTAGTTGGCGATCGATGTTGCAGGCTACAGTGACACTTTCTACTTCAGAGGCCGAGTACATGGCCATGACGGAGGGAGTGAAGGAAGCATTGTGGTTGTGGGGTCTTTTAGACGATTTGGGAATTGAGCAGGAGAACGTGAACTTGTGGTGCGACAGTCAAAGTACGATTCACTTGGCGAAGAATCAAGTTCATCATGCTCGTACCAAGCATATCGATGTCAGGTATCATTTTGTGCGGGATGTCATAGAGGAAAGTGATATTTCTCTCATGAAGGTGCACACGAATGAGAATCCCGCAGACATGTTAATCAAGGTGGTCACAGGTAGCAAGTTTAAGCATTGCTTGGACTTGTTTCATATCAACCCATGTTGATTTGCCCAAGAGGGCATGGCCCTTCGGGGCAGTGATGGGATGAGGTGGAGACTATGGAGAACAAATTCCTAAACTACGATTAGCTTGATCCCGGTGGAGGGTACGTAGGCAGCCGCGGTAAAGTGGCACAGCTGGTTTGGCCTGGTTTGGTGTTTCAGATATCTCTGGTGATGTTCGTGGTGTTCTTCTGGTGTTCGTTCAAAATTTGAGGTTTATTAAATGATGTACGAGGTGGAGAATTGTAAACGTGGATGGGCACACCCACGAGCGGAGACAAAAGCCCAGGTGCGACTTAGAAGTTCACGTGAGAACTTTGTTGTTCGTTCCCTATAAATACCTGATGACCTAGGGTTTTTTAGTTGTGTGGGGAAATTTACTCGGCTGCAGCGACGTGTGGGAAAAGACAGCGGCAAAGAAAAATCTTTTTCGGCTGCAGGGTAAAAACAGAGGCTGGTTTCTTGAGGAGATTCAGGAGGCTAGAAGAGAGATCTTGAGAGGAGAGAAAAGGAGGGATTTACAAAAGAGAGGTTAACTTCTTTTGGGTAATAATTAGATTTTTTTCTCTGAGACGAGCTTGTGGATTGTACAAGTCGTCGGTGTTCTTCTCATAGTGGAATCTCCCCTCACCCCTCCCGTGGACGTAGGCAATTTTACCGAACCACGTAAATCTCGTGTATTTATTGTTTTCTGGTTGTTGGCTATTGCTTGTAGGTTCTCTCAATATTCGGTCTTAGAGCTGATGAGCGGAAGAGTGTATATTTCACTTTGATGAAATATATCACTTTCGATTCTTGTTTCCTTTGAGAAATAAGAATTTCACTATCTATTCTCGTTTCCTTTGAGAAACAAGAATATAGAGGCTGACTTGTGCTTTTGTGACAACAAAAGTCAGGGCTCTCTCTCAGGTGATATCGCTTCCGCGGCGGTGGGCGTGACTCTGCGCCCAACACAAATCAACCCCGAATTCTTCAACATTTTAACTAACAGAACATAACCATAAAAAATATTTAAAATTTTAAGGTCAGAAAATAACAAAGAAATGCAAAAAGCAAACACCAATACAATATAAATAACTTTTAGTACTAAAAGAAGAAAGTTACCTTGGCCCAAAGAGAATGTGTTCCAGCTCAAATAATTCATCATCCGTAGCAAGTTCAAGCACTGCTCTCAGCTCCGGATCAAAACTCCCTAAAATCAAAATCAAATCCAAACTAATTACAACAACAACAAAAAAAAACATTTTTCCTTGTAAGGGTCTGCTAATTACAAGCAATTGGAACAAAAAAATTGTATTTTTTACAACATCATGTAGTTCAAAAAACAGTCTTCAATTTGAATGCAGCTGCAATTCCTCCATTTTTAGCCTATTTGATTTTGACAAAAGAAAATCAAAATGGTGAAAGTAAAGCTCAAACCTTGGGTTGTCGAGGTAATTGCTGCCGCCCGAAGAGGTCCAAGCCTCTTTAGCCCTGGAAATTGAAGGCCAACGCCATTACTACGCCATTGATTGAGCTGACACTTCCAATGAGAGAGAAATTGTCTCAGGGTTCAAATATAAGCAGTGAACGGAGAGAGAAAGAGATTGAGAGATGACCTGCGAAGAGGAGAGAGACCGAGAAATGGGTTTGAAGGCTGAAGAATTTGGGAAGGGGAGAGGATTGAGGGCGATGGCGACCATCGATTTCTGCTCCCAAAGCCTCGTCCACTAAGTTTGCTAGTTGAGTTCTGCTGCTAAAATATTTTTGGGTTTCGTCGACATTTGTCCCTTAAATCTTTAATAGTTTGAATTAGACCGTGAAATCATTAAAATTGCTATTAAGTCCCTGAAAACTTACTAGTTATCTCAAATTACTCATCCTATTAGTTATTCCAGCTCGAAATGGTTAAGTTGTTAAACATGAATTGAAAATTATATTTCTACCCTCAACTAGTCGTCCTCCTGCAAAAAATTCCAAAAATATTTAAAGAAAATGGTTTTTAGAACACAAATTTAATATGAGAACTCACATTTTAAGGCTTGAAAAATTGGATTTAAAGAAATGGATTTGAATTTGCACTAATTTAAACAAAGAGGTATAATTGGAAATTCTCGATAAAAAGTCACGTTAAATGGAATACTCCTTCCAAAAGGAACATTAGCTGTGACTGATTTCAAACAAATAATAAGGTTTCAAGGATTAAATAGCAACTTCAAGGATTGGAGGTATTGACACAAATTATTAAATACGGAAAATAAGCTAAATGACACTTAAATATTCTATTGTTTCACTATCTTTATACTTAAATATCCTAAAATGTAAAAGTAGCATAAAAATATCCCAAGTTGTCCATTGTTAAAATTAGGCTAACACCGTTAAAAAAATACCCATTTTGATGAAAATTTCCTCCATTATAGTAATAAATTAAAGGGGCAGGTAAAATGTTATTTAAAGAAATAAATAGGGGCAAAGGAACAATAATACTCCTATGGGCCAAGTATATGGGAATATTCGGAATATTCTAACACCCATTGAACATAAGGTAGCAATGTGCTACTTTTTGATAACTTAGGGTATTTTTATGTTACTTTTTACGACTTAAGGTATGTTAATGTAAAGTAGCGAAACAATAGGGTACTTAAGTGCCATTTATCCTGAAAAATATCCCAATATCTTTAGAGGACAAACTAAAAATTATTGAGAGAGCTTATTGTTTATTTTTGGTCCATATCAGATATTTCTTGGCTGATACCAAAATAAACTATAGTAAGCCCCAAATAATAATCACATAGAAAGATATAGAATGAAGAGATTATAAATTTTACTATCCGCATATACGAACAGGGTGTTTTGAAGTATTCATTGAGAGTAGAGGAAGGTAATCTGTGTCTTTATTAATCAAAACACCTCAAGTGCATAGGGGTGTATTATAGGTGTTGAATTAGGGGCTGTTTGGTTCGTTTTTCAACTTGATGGAAAAGTTTTACACCGCCTCCACATCAGATTTTTCGTGGTCACGTAAGATATAAGCTTTTCATCGGGTTTTTTCCCATATTTGGTTCTCTAGGGTTGAAGAAGAAAAACTCGGTGAAAATCACCGCCACATCAGATTTTTTTCTCTCCCCCAATTCCTTCCTCATCCTCGTGAAATCGACGAAAACTGCAGCCACGTCAGCTTTTTGCCATATAAACAAAAGTTTTCACTTTTTTTCCATGCGAACCAAACACAAGAAAAATAAATACATTGGTTTCCCACCATTTTTTTTGTGCGAACCAAAACAAAACAATCTATTTCTTAGAAAAGTTTGGAAAACTCAAAACTTGTGTTTTTGTACATGGAAATACATTTTTCTATATTTAGGAAACGAACCAAACAGCCCCTTAAGATAAAAGATGTAAATGCTATCACGATCTTTGATGCATACATTATAGTAAAGTTAACACGTATTAATAGACATTTGACAACACTGGTAGCATGTTTAGGCATAAAAATCTCAATTGCAACATTGCTAACCTGCTCATAAGATTTATGTTGCAACTTACTGTTTGCGCTTGTGGTTAAATCTGAATAATACAGATATATAACAGCAAAAACTGAACAGAAAATTGAAGTGCAGTAATTTAAAATTTTTCAACTCAGCTGATGTGCGTTTGTAAAACGCTGTGCTTAAGCATTATTTGGCCTACTCTGGTACAAGGATCCCAAGGTCAAATTATTTCCATGAACAGTAGTCCAGTACTCTGGTGTGCACCGACCCAGTATTGTCAAGATCTCCTTGATCTATAAGACAAAGATCTCATCGATCTATTAGGCAAATATCTCATCGATCTATAAGACAAAAATCTCCTCGATCTATCAGGCAAAGGTCTCCTCGATCTATTAGGCCTTCTCGGTCTAGGCACTATTCCTACAAGCACTAGATATTCTACAACATATATATATCTGTATATATTGATTGTTGTTTTCGAAATGAATTTTTCTTATGGATTTGGGGTCTATTTATAGCGTTTGGGAAAATACTATACACTAATAAAATAAAATTATTTACTATGCATGTGGGACCCGCATCCAAAATTTTCTTCGGTGGGGCCCACCACTTTATTTAATTTCAAATTTTAGCAGCCCACGTTTTGTTTCTTCTTTATCTAATCATGTGGGGTCTGCTAGCTTTTAATTTTTAAAAAAATTATCTAACAATCCCCACAAGTTTTTTAAATAGTATCATGTAACAGTGTCGTTGTTTTAATCGTTGTGCATATGGTAGATGTTGCAAGGATTTGAATCCCCCTTAGACCAACTGAATAAAAGACAGGTGCATGGTGTCGCAAAGACTTGAACTAGCACATGTCTAAAAATTTAGCGATCACACAAGATCAAACTTATTTGTGGCAGTTTTCACTTTGAACCACACTTATCTTTGTCTTTGTCTTGCCTTTGCCTTAGCATATTTTATGGCCCTGTATATGTCCTGGTTTCTGCTGGGACTCTAAGTATCTTTTCACAAGACACCATAGTAGACGACCAAATCTCCACTCATGCACAGGCGAGTTCTTTAGGCATGTTTCCTATCAAACATCCCGCATTCGAAATGCTTTGAATTAATTAAGGCTTAAGAGCTATCCTCTACCATGATAGAATTCTAGATGAGTTCTTTAGGTGTGTTTCCTATCTAATACCCCACATCCTAAATGCTTTGGACTCATTAAGGCTTAACAGCCATTCCCTTTACATGGTAGGATCCTAGGTGAAAAGATCAAAGTTTTGCTTGGGTAGTTCAGCCAGGTAAGGATAGTACTAGAGGGAGATCAAAGATCAATTAAGTACTCTGTTTCTTGCGGAGCACGTTATGCAACCCCCAAACATTGCCTTAGACACCGACTAATCCAAGGAAACTTGAACCCCCCCCCCCCTAGGATTTTACTTGTAAATCTTACTTGATTTTTGAACCATTTATCTTGTCATTAGTAGCATAAGCTTTGAACTAATAACTAGATGTAAATGGTAAGTATTTGTAAGACTCACCAAACTTTGTAAATCTTACTTGACTTTTGAACCAAATATATTATCATTAGTAGCATAAGCTTTGAACTAAAAACTCGATATAAATCATAAATATTTGTAAGACTTACAAAACTTTGAGATCTATTCCAGCAGACGTCCTTTCGACTATATCCTTTTTCATACCTTTAGTCAAAGGATTAGCTATATTCTATGAAAAGCGGACGTCAATCACAGAGATGACTCATTGACAAATGAGCTCTCTCAAATAGATATGCTTCAGATGAATGATCCGCTTCTTTCCATTGAACATCGAGTTTGCTGCCACGGCACTCGCTGCCTGATTATCACAATAGATAGTAATTGTGTCTTGCAATTCTATCAGTGGAAGGTCTTGAAGAAAACAACTGAGCCACTCAGCTTCATCTCATGCAGCACAGAGTGCGAAGACTTCAGATTCTATCAATGACTGTGCAATTATGGTCTGCTTCTTAGACTTCCACGAGATGGCAGCTCCACCCATGGTGAAGACAAAACCTCCAATAGACCTGCACTCATCTGGTTCTGAACACCAGCTCGCATCTGAATAGCCTTTGATTATACCCGGATATCTAGTGTAGAATAGGCTCAGATCTGTAGTTCCTTTCAAGTATCTCATCAATATCTGGACAACATCCCAATGAAACTTTCCAGGATTACTTGTGAACCTACTAAATATTCCTAGGGCGAATGCTATATCTGGCTTTGTGCAGCTCATCACGTACATAAGACTCCCATTGATCTTTGAGTACCTTAGCTGCTCTATTTGTCTTCCGGTGTTTGGTCGAAGCTTCTTGTTGTAATCATATGGCACCGATAGTTCTGTCAGGTCGTAGTAGCCATACTTTCTTAGCATGCTCTCGGCATAATGAGATTAGGACAATCCAATACCATCTTCAGAGTATATGATTTTGATTCTGAGAATCACGTCCGTAGTTCGAAGGTCCTTCATATTGAACTATGCAGAGAGAAATTTCTTGGTAGATGTTACTATCTCCAAATCACTCCCGATGATGAGCATATCATCCACATAGAGGCAGATGATCACCACCTTTCCTTTAGCGACCTTGATGTATAGGCACTAGTCAGATTCACTGACTTGATACCCATTATTATGAACAATCCAATCAAACTTGTCATGCCAGAGTTTTGGTGTCTGCTTAAGTCTATATAAAAACTTAACAAGTTTACAAACCTTACCAGCTGGAGCATCAAGTCCTTCTGGTTTCTCCATGTAGATCTCTTCTGTGAGATCTCCATTGAGAAAGGCAGTCTTCACATCCATCTGATATATGATGAACCTTTTAATCGCTGCCTATGCGATAAGCACTATGATGGTAGTGATCCTGTAAACTAGTGCATAGATATCAAAGAAATCTATACATTCTTTCTGAGAGAATTCTTTTGTCACCAGTCTTGCTTTGTACTTTTCAATAGTACCATCAGGATGGAGCTTCCTCTTGAAGATCCACTTGCAACTAATAAGCCTTGCACCTTCAGGTACATTCACCAGCTCCCAAGTATGATTTTGGATCAATGAATCCATCTCATCATCTATAGCTTATTTCCACAGAAGAACGTCCATTGACTGTATTGCTTCTTGAAAAGTTTGTGAATCTCGTTCCACATTATAAGTGATGAAGTTATATCCAAAATCTTTATGTCTTCTAATACGCTTGGAAGATGGTTCGATAACTCCGTCATCATTGACACTTT